GCCGCGGCTCCTCCTCGCCGAGCGGCAGCCGGGCCACCGGCCACGGCCCCGGTAGATCCGCACCACGTGGTTTCAAGGACAACGCTCAGGAGCGGACTGGAAGAGCTAAGAGAGCCAGAGGGGGATTGGAAAGTGCTCGCCGCACGCTTTTCACCAAGGATTTTCCCTGCAAGAATGAGCTTTTGTAAAGCTTAAACCAATAGATAGATAAAAAAAACCCAAAAAGCTAAGAGAAGCTTCCTCAAAGAGTGAAGCCAAGATGTCTACCGGGAGACATGAGTCATTTTCAGGCACAAATACGTAAATGAAAATCCACAGATCTGGAGTATTCCGAAGCTCCTTACTCATTTCCCAGCTCTATATTTGCTCTACAGAAATCTCATTTCCCAGGTTAATTATACGGCTTGAGTTGACACTCTTGGCCAAGTTCAAGGTACGCAGAGCACCCGATTGAATGCAGCCTGGTCAGTCGGGCCAGGCAAAACGGAAGAACTGAATTGCTGTTTTTCTCCCCAATAACAGGGGCAGGGAGAACCAGGCTGCCCGCTCTGCCCCACGCTCGTCACCTTGCCAGGCTGTGGGCTTCACACGCCGTGCCCTGCATCTCCGCACCCGCCAGACACGCAGCACCCGCGGCGGGAGCAGAGGAACGCAAACGCCAGCGGGAAGACGTCTGCTTGGGGAGGATCTTACTGTGAGCTGGGCGGCCCCTGAGCAAACCCGAACCCACCCTCAAAAGTTACGAGGAGGAGAGAGCTGGCATTTCTGAAGGGGTTTCTTCAAAATGTTTTCATTCCATTCAAATGCCTCCAGCAACTGATGTAACCTGAAAGGGAAAAGTCTCCTGAAAAAGCCTGGGGAAATCACCCAGTGCTCCGGTTTCAGGAAATTCAGAGCTTCCTCACAAATGTGCGAGGGTGGAAGTAGGAAATCCCCTCCGCGCTCGCTGCAGAAGGGAAAGTGCAGGGAATTTTGGGGGGGTGCCGAGGTACTTTATTTGGTTTGCTCCAGAGGTTCGCTCTTCTCTCTCCAGAGGGAGGGAGCGGTTCAAAGGCTTTCCAGAACAGACCGAGTTGGTTCCTCCGTTCCTGCATTTCCCTTCCCTCGAAAGATGATGCAGGATGTCAACAACAAGAAGACTGGCTGAAGTCCTCTGGTCTCAGCAGGCAGCCTGCCTTCACCTGTCCCTGGGTGGCAGGGGAACAGCCACGGAGCACCCGGCCGGGCGAAGCGCACGCTCGCCTTCCTCCGGGAGGGTCCGCCCTGACCAAGCCTCCCCGCCGGGCCAGAGCCCCTGCAGCTGCTCGCCCTCCTCCTCCTCCCAGGTCCGGCCCCGTCCTCCAAGCTGGGGGTGCAGGTCGCAGAGGAGGCTGCAGGCTCGGGGTGCTGTTCTCCCCACCAGCAGCACCCTGCCGCCGCCGCCGAAGCATCTCACCCCAGGAGAAAGCGTCGAGGAAGAACGGGCGCATCGGCTCCCTGCTCCCGCCGAGGGGAACGCCAACACGTGGGGCACCGCTAGAACTAGTACTATTATTACTAGTAGTAGTATTGATGCAGAAAGAATGTTTCAGGTAGTCTCATGAAGCATCAAAAAATCCCCAACCCCAAATCAAGCGCATTCCCGCATGCTTCCAAATATCGCATAAAACAGGGAGAGCGAGACTAAACATCATTAACTAAAGCACAAATACAGCTACAAGTAGAAGTGGAAGAAAACCATGATCTAATTTCTTAAACAATGAAATACTATAAAAAAAGGAGACTGAAAAATTAACTATTCCTTTGTCAAAAGTTAACGAAGCTTACAGGCAGTAGGATAGAAGCCAAATCTGGAGCATACATGCTGCTAGCAATTAACAAAATGTTCTCTCCATTTCTAAACCTTTCATTTTTTTCCTTCCTGGATCCAAGTAAAACTGACACTAGTAATTTGAGGAAGAAATTGTTACTTGGAAGAAATGTTAAGCTGCTAAAAACAACAGTTGGGAGAGAGAAGGTAAGGTGTTCAAACTGACGCCTGCAAGTCACTGCCGAGGTCCTGCTCGGAGCCAGGAGGCCCGTCCGCTGTATTTCAGATTTTTCTGCTCCTGCTGCACTCGAGCTGAGCGCTGCTCTATCTTTTGTGCTTCTAAAGCTGTGCTGACTCTGCGTGCGCCAGGCCAAGGCCCCGCGAGAAGCGGTGCAAGCTTTAAGCGCAGATAGGCAGGAGAGCAGAAGGGTAGCTGAGGAACCAGAGGAGAGGTGCGGGACCTCTGGAAGGCCAGAAGGGTGCAAGCACTTCTCACTGGTATCAGCACGTCCCTCTGCATCACACAGGAAGGCAGGAGGGACAGAAACTGCATTTCAGGTCAGAACAGCAAAGCTGCACCCACCGCACCCCAAAATGATGAGTTCCTACTTCACACCGAGAGACCGGATTTCAAAATCTGGTACCCGCCAGTGCTAGAAGATCACGCCAAGGGTGAGAGTCTCCTAAAGGAGGCACGAGGCTGGGTTTGGAGAGAATACCTACTTGCAGGAATTAAAATTTATATAGACATCCTGTTTATCAGCTAAGCGTGGCTAATATTCATACAGACTTCCTCGAATCAATGCTGCCCTGCCAACAAGAAGGGAAAGAAATTGCTGGGCGCCCCGGCAGAGGGGCAGGAGGAGGACAGGGGTGGCACAGGGGCAGGGAGAGGACACCCACCCTGCTCTTAGAAGTGCCCCAACTTCTGGGAAAGTACACAAGGGAGGGGAAAAAGGTAGGAGCAAACTCTGCCTTCAGTGGAAAGAAGCCATGAAACAGCAAACATTTCCTTTTGCTCCGTGCAGCGAACAAAGGAAAAAGCTAAAGCCCCTGTCCCGGGCTAACATCTACTACTCTGTGCCACACATTTGTTAAGATCTAATTATAACTATAATTAAACTATAATTAAAATTTCCTGCATGGATGATAATTCCATAAAGAAACCACCTTTTCCATTTCAGTTGTTTCTATAGCAGCTCGAGTTGAAAATCGGGGAAAAAACCCACTTCTTTCGGAACGTGACCATGTGACCAGCTCATCAGTAATCGTTATAAAAGTGTAATTACGCCGGTAAGTGTTCCGTAAGTCAGCAAT